GTGTGAGTCTTTGAGTGGTATAACTGTCTTAACTCTATGGCTTTGGTCTGAGCTTAGGCAGTGTTCATGCCTCTTCTTCTGGCCATGTGTTTGTGAGCAGAAGGTAACTACCTACAGCCCCTCTCTGCCTGCTTGTCACTGTTGTTTATTGACCTACTAGTCTGGCAGCTTCTCTTGGACTGTTTAGGGAACAATTGCAAGAGCAGCAGATCCATTGGATTCAGCAGGGCTAGATTTAATAGTGACCTGATGAGCCGTTCAAGGTGGGGCTTGGAGTGGTAACCCCTTGAGTTGGTACAAATACAGAACTGGATGTCTGAGCTCAGCCCACCACAGAACAAAAAGATTTCTAGCCCAGAGCTGGTAAAAAACAAAGGCCTCAGCTCAAATATTTCACTCTAAAAGACAGTAAATGTGATGCAGGTGTGAAACAAACTACATATTATATTAGTGTCTCCTAAACATTTTTGGCGTTTTTTGTTTTGTTTTTCTGAGACACTGTATAGAAGTGGGATTTAGATCTCAGCTCTGCGATCTATCGTGTATCAGATGGATGAGAGTATTTCTAATATATTGGATCACGTGGCTACAGCTGTGGTGGTATGCACCTTCCAACAGTAGGCAGGTGCCAGAACCTCCTAATTAACTCAAATGTTCATCTTTTTAGTGATCTGCAGAACTGAGCACTTTGGTGATTTACAAAATATATGCACTTCATAGGAGTAGCTCTGAGCTAGTCAGCTCTGCTGTTACATCTGGGCAGCAAACAAGAGCAGTGGGTGAAGAAGCTCTGATTTTGAGAACAGAATAAATTGTGTGATGTACTTTCTGGCTGAGGTTATATTGCTTCTGTTTTCAGAGGCAGGACAGCTCTTGGTCTCCGCATTGTGCTCTGTATGTTGGCCAAGCTGTATGTGAAGGCTCCAAGTCCTGTTGAAAACAGGAGATGATTAGCTACCAGTGACTGGTAGCAAAGCTCTGCAGCAGTGCCCAGGGAAAAGCCACCCTTCCAACTAATCTCCAAAATTCTGGGAAAAGGGATCTAAATCCTGGACTGTATTCATATAATTTATTTATTTGTGAGCTTTTGTCATGTAGAATTTGAAACCCTTGAGTTCCCCTTATTTCTAGGAAGAGAAGAGAAAGGTATAAGTCAATCTTTTTCCTCTGGAGCAGAACATCCTGACTCTTACACTGTGTACTGATGCTTTCCCTGTCTATTCACGAGCATCCTCTTTGTTATGGGTGTAAGATTATGCTCTGCATGCTCTATTGTTTTGATTCTCTCATAATCTACAGATAGGGAGATGGAGTGCTGATTTGTGTTTGCCAAATACCGTTTTAATGAACAACTTTGCTTTACTCCTTGCTACATTCTGAAATTATCATTTGTGCTCAGTAAAGACTTTGAGTCAGACTCAGGAACAGAGCACTGTTCCTTCTGCTGAGAGCTCCAAAATAAAAGCTTCAAATTTAATAATAACTGTTTTTCTTTTCTATTTACTCTCTGCTTTTGAGAGCCTAAAGATTATGTTCACATTTACACTCAATTCACATTTTAGCCTTTGCTTCTAAATAATGAGGCACAGAACCTTTGTATTTAGTTTTACATGAAAGTTGAGATCCTTAAGTTATAAAGACCTGGGACTTTAAGAAAACAGAAACTGTTTCAAGACTTGCAATAAAACCATGAATTTATGCTGAGTTTCAACTTACACAGTTGCAAAAAATAATATTCTAAAGCAGAAACTGATTTTAAATGGTCCTTTGCATTCTTTAAGAGTTGGTTACTTACAAGGCAACCCCTCTTACTCAGTTCTCCGAGTGAGACTTTCAAGTTATGGATCAGTTATTCAAGTAAACCACAAGCTAATGCAAATCTCCATTAAGTATTTCTGGTGATGGGTGAGGAGAAAGAAACTGGAAAAAGAGAGAGAATAAAACATTTATAGACCAGAATATATCAAAAGGATACAGCTTCTGTCTCTGACCTGTGATGCCAAAAGTGGCTATTTCTTGACTTTATGCCATTTTGTTTGTAGGGACAATCCTTGAAAACTTCGCAGAGCTACGAGTCCTCAGCAGGTTCTTTAAATGTCTTCACAGTCATTTTAACTTAAAAAAAAGGAAAAAATTACTAATGGTTAGGCTAGTGAGACTATTGTGCATCTTACAGTCTCCTTTTTTCCTGAACTGTTTGCATTATCCTTCTGTCTTAGATTTCATCCTTAGACTGTAGGCTGTTTCCTTCTGTGCCTTTTCCTTCTGTGTGTATGGCATCTAACATGGTACGATCCTGCTCCATGATAATAGCTGTCAGGTGTTATGGTCACATAAATAATGTATACTAGTCTTGACATAGTTGATTGCTTTGATCTGCTTTGGCCAAAGCTTAATGTGGGGGTGTGGGAGAGAGGTAGTAATTTCTTAGATACTAAGAGATATGCGATAAATCTTTCCTTTCGCAAGCTCCTTGATGGGCAGGAGGTTAAGGCTGTCTGAATGTTTCTCTATCCTCCTTGCGATGACACTCCCTATTTGGGAGTCAAAAAGTGCTGTCAAATGCCTGGCTGTCTCACAGCTTCACAGTGGGAAGAAAATATTTAATTAAGTCAATGGGAAAGAAGTTGTATTAGTGTGTATTAGTATAAAGTCAAATATTTTAACCGTTTCAGAGGTTGCTAGGTAAACTGAATTGCCACATAGAATACAGACATTGTATATTTCCTAATCACTGTTTTCATTTCATGAATAAAGCATCCCACTTTTTCTGTCCTGAGCCCATTCAAGTTGCTATGCAGCTTCTTCTGCTCTGTAACTTCATACTGCCTGTAGTCTGTGCTAGACCTGGCTCCTAACATTGTGGTCAAGTGTTTCTTAGTTTTTCTTAAGACACTTTCTCTCCCTGCTGGAATGTACAGACGTGGTCATCAACCTTTGTTTGGTGAGTTAGGAATCTGTTCTTTAATTATATCGATTAAGAAAAGTACATTAAAAGTCTTATCTGCTTAGAAATGAAGCAGATAGAGCAAAACAAGGAGTATTTATATTTTCCTAGAATGTTCCAATGATTTCAAATGGAAGGTTGCGGGGTTTGGGTTTTATTTCTTTGTTTGTTACTGATTTCAAAGATCCAAAGATTTACCACATTGTTTTCTTGGGTGCTGTTTAGGCTATATCCATAGGTCTTCCTTTGCTTTCAGAGTTTTTTATATCATCAGTTATTGCATATCCCTAACAGGCTTTTAGATACCTAAAATGCTGTTAAAGAGCAAGCTAGGCATCTAAATTAAAAAGTGCCATGTTGATATTAATCTCTGTTCATCTGTTATTGTAACCTAACCCTGAGCTGCTGAAGTTTATGAACTTTCACATTTCCTAGGCGCTATAAATCTCTTGCTGCTTGCATGGTTTGAATCATCCAATTCTTCTTTGACTAAGCAATCTGGTCTATATCCATCTTAGTCTCTTTAGTGTCCCAGCCTGGTAGGAATTCCCGGATCATATCTCACTTGGCAACAAATATGAGCACCCTCCAAACTGCAATAGCATTTGCAGAGGTAACATGCTTCTTCCATTAAAATGTTGTATAGGCAGGAGCAGTCTCTGTTCTACAGCAGTGCAGTTTGGAGGGTTTTGGTCTGTGAATCTGTTTGCAGGTCACTTGAAGAGGGCAGCAGCAGAAGACCAACAGGGCAAGTTTGGCAGTGTGATGCCTCCCATAAAAATGCAGAAAGTCTCACTGGTCTTGCATTTCTCTTGCCCTGCAAAACATGGTGGGAATTTCGTGTCTCAGTAGCACTGAGAAGGAGTTGTCTGAATATCTCCAAGATCACCTAAAAGTTTTCTACAGAGCGAGGAAGGCAGGTCAAGGAACATTCATGCGCACAGAGATCTGATGCAAGTAAAATAGTTCCTTCCTATTTTCCTTGCCACGGGCCTTCTAGATTTTGGTGGTGATGGCTGATGTGCTGCCACTGCCTCATCATTCCTTCCACCTATGAAGTGCAGGGACTGTTAGGACTCCAGTGTCAGTAAAAAACCCATGTTTTACCAATGACTGTTATTCAATCCTTTTTTCTTGCCTATGCTGATGAAAATTTGAGAACAGCTGTAACAATCTTTCTGCACTGATGAAAAATGGTGGTGTCACAATAACGTTACTAGTCCTACCGCTGGTCACTGCCATACCTTTACTGGGTGCTGCTGTTGGGCGTTTTCAACTTCCCAGTTGATCTGGGACACAAGATGGACAGTGTGAATTGAAGCCTAGATTGAAGCAGTGTTGTGAGTGAGAAATGTTTTGGTCTTGCTCATCATTATACTTTTCTTCAGAAAGGCAGAAAATTATTTTACAGTCAGTACAACCCAGAAAGAAAAGGGGAACATTGTATCATTGCTACTCGGTCTGGAAAGAGAACATGTTCTATGGTCCAAATCGGAATGGGCTCCGTACTTACTGGGCTCTCTGATGAAAACATATACAGAAGAGCTGTTGCTGTCTGCAGCAAAAAGCATGGCAACAGAAATGCTGAGTAGAAAGAAACTGACTTTACTATGCCTTTCAGATAACACTGTTGGATGCCAAATTCAGTGGCTGAACACGTTCAAAAACCCCTTACATATCAAATCAAAAGCAGATTCTGTTTTACCTTGTGGTTAGAGGAGTCCGCAAATGTTGCTGCTCTCACTGATTTACTTGAATAGGAGAAATATGAGTTTGGAAAGACTTTTGTGTTTTGTTTTGATGCCATTTAATGATTTATGTGCAGAAGATACAAAAGAAAATAATATGGGAGGAAGTTAGTGCACTGGATTTACGCTGGTGTTGTGGATTAAATGGTAGCCTTGGTGGTTCTGATTCGTAAGGTCCATGTGGAGCTTTATCATAGTAGTATCTGGTAAGGTGCCAGCCAACCTGAGCTGCATGAACTGCTGTTAGGAAAGGTGGATCTAACTCCATTTGTGTTGTGACTTCTTTTCTTCAAACTATTTTTCAGAGTATTCCCTTCTTCATTGCTTTTATTGGGCTGGAGTTTGCTGTCAGCTGGGTTCAGAAGCGTAAGCTGTCAGGTCGGATCAATGACGGCATAAGTTCTCTTTCTTTAGGCATCCTGTCTCGGCTGCCAGAGTAAGTAGATGTGTTATATTAGCTTAAAAATGTTTTTTAATCACTAACAAGGAAGAAAAGAGAATTATATATTGAAGTTGTTATTGCTAACCCAAAATGATTAAACAAAGCATCTGGATCTTTGCTAAAATGAAATTGCATAAAGAGTGTAAATGTCTTTCTAATCTGTAAGCCTGAATATGATACTTGCAGGATATTTTGCAGCTCCAGTTATATTCATCTATGTTTGATCTTGGCTGTCACCTTTTGCTGATTCTGGGGCTTCAGCTGACTTAACCGTATATTATGTTAGACTGCGTGTTAAAATCTGAGTTTTCAGTCATTAAACTTCAGAAAGAAGAAAACAAAACAAAACCAACAAACCAAACCAAGTCCATTATTTTCATTAGCCTTTAAAAATAAAATTGTGTGCATATAACCAGATTGATAGAATTGTGAATATGCATGTGATCCAAAGTCCTTTGAACTCAGTCATAATCTTGCATTTGACTTCAGTGGATTTTAATGCTGGAAAGAATTGTTGCAAACGTGATCATCTGATCTACTCTCCAATGTAAACGCCATAAGGTTTACCTGAAGTAGTTCACAGTGAACAGAAATGTATTTTAAAGAAATATCCACTGTGGATTACTAAATATCCAGTAACAGGGAATCCAGCAAATTCTTTACATAAATTGCTGTAAATGTTTTTCAGAAGCTCTAACTACTTCCAAGGAATATCATGTTTTAGATCTGCCTTTGCATGATATGAGCTTCCAGATGACAGATTTTATTATGTCTTTTCTGTTAGAATGGGATTACATTTCTATTCCCCATGTATGAATTTACAGTTTACCATTAAGTTGCATGTAATCTGTTCATTACATGAAGAAAAGTTTCTATTATTTGAATTTGACTACCTGGTGTATTTTCAAGTCTTTCAATTATTCCCACAGTCCTTTTTCTGAATCCTCTGCAGTTTTTCAGCCTTCTTGGTGTTGATGTCTCAAGTGCACTCCATATTTTGGAAATTACTACATCAGTGCCAAATAATGAAGTAATTTGTTCTCTATTTCTACTTGTTCCTCCCTTTATGTATTCCAGGACCTTTGAGCCATCTTTCATCCCCAAATATTTTTTTTAGATTCTGTGGTTTACATTCCAGATTCACAGGCAATATGTTCTTATTTGGCCACACAGAAATACATGGATTGTACATTTGGTTGTCCTGAAATAGTTTGAATCCATGAAATGTTGTCTTTTTTACTTAGAGATCCCTGATTTTTGTAATTGCAAATTTTACTAGAAATCTTATCCTTCAGTCCATTTTTTAAAGTTTCCAATCAAGAAATGTTTTGACAAGGTCTATGTCTGTGGCTTTAAATTAGATACAAAGACAACTTGTGATGGATTTTGTTAGTTTTCAGTAGTAAAGATCATGGATGAAGCCTTTTAAGGATTTTGATAGATAAATATTGTCACTTAGAGACACTCTCGCAAACTCTTCATATATCTGCAAGTAAGAGGCATGAGCTTTCAGCATGAGAAATAGTCAAACATAAAGTAATGTCCATGTTATTTGAGAATTTTGTAAAGCTATTTTTGCAGCTAGCGTACAACCTATATACAAATAATTTTGTTGCTTTTAATATGACTTTTGTGAGCGTGATCTTTAAGGAGAAACAGCCCTGATAAAGGCTTACTCTAGTTTGCATGCAGCTAATATGGAAATACTTCAAATGTCACTCCTTCAACTTAACCCATATTTTCTAGACAGTCATACACTTCACAGCTTTACCATGCTAAATACTTACTTCTTTCATCTGAAATATTCAGGACTGATTAAGTTAAACAAGGGCACTGAGATACATGTAAAATAAGTTTGAATGGCTTTGCAAGACCTTTTGGCTTTATTTTAAGAATACTAAAATACTTCAGATGCACTTATTCCTGGAAGAAATGCTTGCTAAGAAAACTAGTGTTGTGTATGCGGAACGCAGCTTTGCAAGGTGCCATCTACTTTTATTATTTTGGCACTCAGTACTTTGCTACAGAATTTGGCTTGTGGGCTAAGCAGTTTTCTTTCGGATAAGAATTATTTTGCAAGGTTGTTTCAACTGGGTGAACCAGATGACCCTTAAGGACACAAAATTCGCAGGATCAAACAGATCTGCAGGATTGGTACACTTATTCTTTGCTACACCAGCACAAGGAGTCTCTTCCAGGTTGTTTGTGCCGCTCTCATGGTTGGAAATACAAGACCTTCCTCAGCAGTTCTTTCCAAAAAAAAGTTCTGTAAAGCTTTTAACTTTCTGGCTTAATGTGAAAAAGGATGCAAAATACAGACTTTGTAAATTATTTAATTGCATGTTAATATCAGAATTCTAATGGTGACTGCTTAGTGTAACACCTCTCTTGTAAGAAAGATGAGTTGTGAATAATAGACTGGCTAAAAAGGCTTGAACTGAAAATACAGAACAGTTTACCCTTCTGTCTTCTGCTTCCATGGTGTGAAAGAACTGGGTCAGGAAAAAAAAGGGGAGGGAAAAAAAAGCACATACAAAATCTGTTGCTAAGACTTTCACTTCAGTCCTTCCCTTTCAGGCAGAAAAAAGGTAGGGTGTGAATAATTGACTGGCTAAAAAGGCTTGAACTGAAAATACAGAACAGTTTACCCTTCTGTCTTCTGCTTCCATGGTGTGAAAGAACTGGGTCAGGAAAAAAAAGGGGAGGGAAAAAAAAGCACATACAAAATCTGTTGCTAAGACTTTCACTTCAGTCCTTCCCTTTCAGGCAGAAAAAAGGTAGGAAAAAAACTGCTAAAACAATATTTCAGCAGAACCCACAGCATCAGGGGAAATAGTAGTGCAAATCATTAACAGCTGAAGGTTAGATTAACACACCATTGATTGTATCCTCTCCTAGGGACTAATTTTCATTTTCTCAACTAGCAGCAATGGTTTGCCACTTCCTTAAAAAAGTCTGTGGTTGAATCTAAAATGGTGGGCTTCAGTCTATTAGTTAGAATGAAGCTTCTGATGCATCATTGCAAAGAGGTCTTTACATTTAATGAAAAAATTAGGAGTCACAGACCATATTCAGCCTCTAAGTATGTTTTTCCATTTCACAGTCTGTATAACAGAAGTACTGCATATCTTGAGGGAAAACAGTATTTATTCAGTGTTTCTTACTTCATTGTTGGAGAAAATGCAAATCATAAATTACTGATATTTGTATGCCAAATATTAAAAATGTAGGTGCAAGAGGAAAAGTCTAATCAGACAAGGCAATGTGTTTTGTTTTCAGGCTTATTAGACTCAACAGCATGTAGTAAGTTGAATTGCTTTGTGCGTACATACGGTCCCTTGTAAAATAGCCCATACATTTCTTAAATATAATTTTCTCTGCCTTAATGCATACTATGCATTCCTCTGCATGTATGAATACTAAATATTATACGCAATGAAAAGTAATTTGGGGGAAGGGGAAAAACTTGATTTACTAAGCTTACTCCCAGCATCCTAAATGTTGGTGGTTAAAAAATTTCTGAGAACTTTTATTCTAAATAAATAACTTTTGTAACTAACCATTGCCAGGAGACTTGAAATGCTGCTTTAAAAATATTCTCCCAAGAGAAAGCTTATTTTGGGTATAAATATCCACTATACAAGTATGTGCATTATTTCATAATGACCCATTTTTCTTTTAAAGCAGCAGAACATAAATCAAATCAAAAAGTGTTTGGGGGATAACTGAGGTAGGTACATTTTCAAACTATATGGGAAAGTCTCCGTTCTTTCTGGTCATGCTCAGTTGCCAATTTTTAGTGTTCAACTCTGCAACAGTCATACAGTGCATGAGTGTGTGTGTATATATATATGTCTAAGAGTTTTGTCAGTTGAGACTGCAATGAACTTCTCAATTTCTTACAAGAATGTTACAATTTGTATACATTATTTAGTTTGGTTTTTGAAACAGAGGAGATTACAGTTCTCTGAAGTCTTGTTGAACATCAGAAAGGATTGAGAAAATGCTTTTTGGTTAGTTCATGCTATTATGCATCTCAAGATATCAGCACATCAGCAATAATTGAATCAAAACAGTAAAAATACTGTTTCTGCTGTAGACCAGTGTATTCACAGTTTTTTTATGTCATGTAGATTTTAAATAATCTTTTTCTAGAAGTTAGATTGAAGAGGCAGTTTCATGTACATTTTAGACCAGTACTGCTGGCAAATGAAGCACGTTTGACTGACTTGTACTTCTGGTCACTCCTTCGTGCCTCTGCACCTTCTCTCCCCTTTTGACAGCATCAGCATTTCTGTTGCCATGTGGTGAAGTGGCCTGGGAAGCAGGTCCAGCACCACACCATCATATTATATTAACTTGCATAAATTCTTACTATGGCTGAGCAAAGTCTTGTGCTAGTATAAGAAATGGGCTTGGAAAAAAGCAGTCAGGGTTGCAGGACAAGAAATACTCCATTCTTTTGTAGCATTGCTGACTTATCTGCTTTAAAACATAAGTAAAATGACAATCTGAAATCTAAAGTTTTCAATTCTTAATAGTAGCAATATGCAGAGCTGATTAGAATACACTTGGTTCAAGTTGGTGCAAGCAGTTCACAACCATGTGGAGCTGGCTGTGTCCTGACAGAATACAAAATACTTGCCTGCATGGATTTATCGATTTAAAGTATGTCCTAGTTTCCTGAAGTATCTACTAGATACTTCACATATGACTATTGAAAATTATAATCTCATAAATTAGTGATTGCATCTCTTAGAAGAAAATTTGATACATGCAGTTTCTCGTAAATTATATTTTCACTTCAAGACTTATTAGGTACATTTCTTTTCTCCACATCTGTTTGACTAAGGCTTTGGACAGATGTTTATTTGCAGCATGGTCAGATGTGTTGCTCCTGATCCAGCTGCCCCCTCAGATCTGCCAACATAACTGCACATTTAATTGCTCCCTAACCTGGTCCTGACAAAGTGATCCAGCTAAAAGCAGAAAAA